TATATATATATGTTAAAAATATATGAAACATAGCAAATGCTATCAAAATTTTATCAAAATTATTATAAAATTGACTACTATTAATAACAAATTATGAAATATAAAACAAATATATGTATATCAACTTTTTTAATATAAATTTAAAGAATGTACAATTTATATATGTGTATGTAAGTCATATATATATGACTTAAATGTATAGAATACACATTGAATAATTTGGTACATATTAGTATTTGAACAACAATTTGAATTTTTCTCTATCCTTTAGCTGGTCAAAGAACAAAAGGAGGTAAGTTTATTCAGAGGAATTGTTGCTTATCCAAAAATGATGCTTATATGTACATTTTTAGGATATCTCACTTCTTGCATATTATTTTTCAATGATGCATTCTTTGATTAAATTAATTATCCTCAACAAAAATATCGGGGTATCAACAATTTTTGGATTACAATAAAAAAAAGTCTTCACAAATTAAAATTTAGGTATTGAAATAAGATGATAAAAGTACATTCTTTAGTTATTTTAAATGACATTTAATAAAATTCTAACTGACTTAATAAGAGACTTTATTATATACAAATATATAATGCTAAAAATTAAAAAACTGCAATGGATGATGACCTCCCTCGACTGTGGCAAAATCTCAATGGCTCAAAGAATCTGTCATTAAAAAATAATGCACTAAAAATGGAGGACACATTCTGCATATTGAAATCACATACAAATGTATTATTTCCTCATAAATAAATACACAGTAATTATTTTTATCTTTATTTCTCTTATTTATATGTAGGATATCAAAATTCATAACTTTAGAAAAGCTTTATGTATATTATAATGAGAAAATAGAAAAGATACATGCCTTTCTATATTGAATGTATTAGATATATTAAATTTCTATAATAACTGTGATATTTTTATTGCATCAAATGCTATGCACTAAATTATACAACTGCACAATTTTGTCAATATGCTTATGATTGAATTATGTACAATGATTTATATGATATATATTTAAAAAGTCCATTTATATTTATATATTCCTTATGCGTAGGTAAGAGCACAACATCAGGAACGGGCTATTGACTTTTTAGCAAAGGAGTTAAAAGTTTACAGCCCAAAGGATGCTGAAGAACGGGTTTTTTTTATTTCTGCGAAAGAAACTCTTCAAGCTCGTATGCAAGAACAACGTGGTCAACCTGCTCATAGTAATGTGTTCTTTGTTATATATATATATACATATATATATTCTTAATTTTTAAAAACCATTTTTTAAATTCAGATATAACTTATAGATGGTGCATTGGCAGAAGGTTTCCAAAATCGATATTTTGAATTTCAAGATTTTGAAAGAAAATTTGAAGAATGTATTTCAAAGTCTGCAGTAAAGACCAAATTTGAACAGCACTCTCAACGTGGTAAACATATCGCAACGTAAGAAAATACTATTTTATGTAATTTTTTTATAACTGCAATCATTTATGCACTCACTGAAAACATAAATTGATTTGTCTCTATTATTTATTGCAGCGAAATACGTCAAGCGTTGGATGAGATATTGGATCGAATACAAAAGATGCGAAATGAACAATTGAATGTTAAGAAAGAAGTTCATGATAAGTTGAATTTCACTGAACAACAATTGATGCTATTAACTCAAGAAATGAAAGATAAAATTCATCATATAGTAGAAGATGTAGAGCAAAGAGTCTCTAAAGCTTTAAATGAAGAAATTCGACGATTAGCCGTTCTAGTGGATGAATTTAATGTTCCATTTCATCCTGAACCACTTGTTTTGAATGTATTTAAACGGGAACTTCACGTACACGTAGAAAATGGCTTGGGTAATTTTTAGTTATATATTCATTTGATGATATGATATAAGAATGTAATTTTTAATAATTTCAAAGAAAATGCTTTATATTTTAGGATCGAATTTACGAGCTAGACTTAGTACAGCTTTAGCATTGAATATGGAAAATTCGCAGCGAGAAATGACCGAAAGAATGGCAAGTTTATTGCCAGAAAACAAAAGACAAATGTCGCTTAACATTTTACCACGACGAGAGCCATTTGAAATACTATATCGATTAAATTGCGATAATTTATGCGCGGACTTCCACGAGGATCTAGAATTTCGTTTTTCCTGGGGTTTTACGGCATTAATTAATAGATTTGCAGGGAAACAGGGCCACAGATTAGCTATTGCTAATTACCCGCAAGAGGTAGGATATATAATTTAATATTTATATATATAATAATTTTCGAGATATATCGAGAAAAGCAAAAAGCCGCTCTACATATGAGGGGTGCTTTCTCCTCTTAGAATCGTTTTTCAACCGCAACTGAAAAATCTAAATTTATCTATTGATCTCCCTTACATGTCTGTAAAGTTTCATCAAAATTAGAATTTTCGGGTTCGCGAGGTTTCTTTGTTAGTGAGAGCTATTAGCATAAATATATTGTTGCAATTGATAGAAATAGTTCTTTATATCATGTTTCATAAAAGAAACGTCAAAATAATTATGTTTCTTACAGATTCCACCATGTATTGCATCACCTGCAGAAAGTACTGATTCCTTAAAATTTATTTCAAGTAGACCAAACTTTCCATCAAGATCTGATGATTGGTCTCTAATTAGTCGTATAGCAATTGCATCTGTAACGTCGCAGGGTACGATGGGTGGTCTTATTATTGCTGGTTTTGTATGTATAACATTATCTAAAATTTATGGATTTTTTATACACAAGAAGAAATGAAAAATTACGAAGATAATTCTTTCCCTTAGATGTTAAAAACAGTAGGCTGGAGGTTAATTGCAATAACTGGTGCTGTATATGGTGCTTTATATCTGTATGAACGTTTAACGTGGACTAATAATGCGAAAGAACGCGAATTTAAACGACAATATGTTGCGCATGCTACGAAGAAGCTTCGATTGATTGTAGATCTTACTTCTGCAAATTGTAGCCACCAAGTGCAACAGTAAGTTGTAACGATTATGATAGTCCTCTCAACTAATTGTTAAAATTTTGTATGTTTATTGTGAAAGTCTCTCTATACTTATATTTTTATAATTATATATATTTCTTTTCTATAATAATATCTGGTATGATTTTATAGGGAGCTCTCCAGTACATTTGCGCGGCTCTGTCATTTAGTGGATGAAGCAACGTCCGAAATGGACAGTGAACTTAAAACTATAGCAAATACTTTGGGAATATTAGAGAAAGCAGCATTCAAGTCAAAGCATCTTCGAAATGAGGCCAACTTTTTAATAAACGAACTCGACACATTCGATGCAGCATATTTGAAGCCTTTGAATTAAGTAAACGATCTATCTATTTTATACAAATCTGCAAAATGTATTAAAATAGCATAATTTGTGGAGGAACATTTTTATGCGAAAATTGTTTAAATTTGATTATTATTTGTTCTTCATTCTAAGAAAAAACCGATAATTAACGCGTCTTATGACAATTAAGTGACAGCAATTTACATGCAAAGGTATAGATTTGTTCTCATTGTACGTTTAGAAGTTAGAACAGTTATCTAATTCTCGTATTTGCATGAAAAACGTAATTTTTATATTAGAAATATCGGACAGTCTCTTAAAGGAATGTTTCTACCTGATATAAAAACTCTAGTCTTAATATACACGGAAAAATCAATTTCTTATAATAGATTATATTAAATAACTTATTGTTGTAAAAATTTCTTTTACAATAGAAAACTATAATAGTTCCATATGTAATCAATTATGTCACACAGGAGAGAATTATAAGGGCAGATTTAGTACATGTATACTCTATATTTTTGGAAGCATTTGATTATATTGAAGATTATAAAATATATATTTTATTGAATATGTATGATAAAACTTAATTCAATCAAGCTTATTTTAAATCTGCTATCGAGATACAAATCTTATTTGATTAAAAGAATAGACAATACAAATTTATCTTCTTATTAGATTGTATGATTTGCCGAAAAGTTATATGTATATTAATTATAAAACTATAAATAAATGTGGTTAACTATTAAGTAATAACTTTATGATTTAATTCTTTCCGAACAAATCTTTTATATGATTTTATTATGTATATATTAAAGCACTATGCAAGTGTAACAGCATGTTTCCTGATTGAATGAAATTAATGCATTTTTCATCACAAAAAATGTATTAAGTGCGAATATTTTCGAAACTATTTTAGATTAGATATGGATAGATGCTCATTCAAGTTTGTAAGTTCTGTTATTTGATTTTATCTGTTTTATAGTTCCGTGTTACCAAGAATTCTAAATATAAAGCCGGAAATGCGAGAAAGTCTTCTTTTCTCAGAGAAGATATCAGGTTTTCGCTAAAAATGTTATATGAAAAATGGGGATATCTTTTTCAATATCGGTTTTAGTATTTAAAATGTTAAGAATTTTTTTTTATATTTTGTGGTGCTTTTTAAAACTAAAATTATTTTACATTAATTTTTTAATAATTGTAATGATAAGGAAAAATGTGATAAATATAAATGTAATAAATTTGAGGTGCGTTCAAAAATCCTACCGTAAGGTAACGTTTAATTGACCAATCAGGACAAAGATTGTACTGATTGGTTAATTAAAAGCTATTGTACTCCACAGGTAGAATTTTCGAACGTACCCCAGAATGTTTGAAGTCACATACACACACGTACATAGATTTAAATTTCAATCATATGATCAAAAATGGCTCTATCCATGTCGAGAAATAACCTTTTTTCGAGGGATATTGTACTGTGATAAAATCCTGTAAAAATGTTAAACATTATATCGCGATGTTGCAACTATCGTGTAAAATATTTCGCAGAATTATGCCGATTATATAGTACGGTAAATATTTCGATAAATATAAACAGATCTCTTCATGAATGTCATGAAGAGATCTTTTATATCGATGAACTTTTATGTATTTACGTATAATTGGAGTGTAAACGTTTAGTTCAACTCGTTCATTACTAATTTCAACGAAATTCGACTAGTCTCTATACATAAAATAAGATATGAAAAATTTATATTCATTTCTATTTCACGATATTACGCTCAGTCGTTCCCTCTGAAGTGTCCTAATAACAGAACTTGTCACTTTTAATAGATCATTCGTTTTTCGTAAATAATAAAAACTGATTTTGTATATATATATAGATATATAGTAACGATCTTAATATTATCATTCTCGTACTCTGCTAAAATAATAGAGTTTCATCAATGAAATTTGTATTCTACATACTTATTGGAGATATCTCTGTTAGAAAACAGATAAATTGAAAAACAATCAACAAATTCACGATCTAATTGGTCCGCCTGATCCAGTTTCAAACCTGAGACCTATTATATTTGCTCGCTCAGCGAAAGAAACTTATTTCGAGAAGAGATATATAGATCTCAGGGAAAAGACTCAAGAATGGAATCAAGAATTCTGGTTCAAACATAATACTAATTTCAGTGAGGTATGTGACTCTAACAGCTCTTTTCTACAATATACTAGACTTAATATCATTAAATGAGATTTCAGGAACGTAAACGATTTCAAGAGTTGTTGAGAGCACAAGGAAAGACAGAAATAACTGCAGATGACATGTCAGTATTTTATAAGCAATTCCTAGATAAAAATCGGCAGTCTCATTTCAATTATAATGTATCATGGTATAAAAGAAATATAAAAATTTTATTTTATGGTATAGCAGCAAAAATATCTAAATTAAGAATTAAATAAATTTTTATAATTAGATAAATAACACACATTTATATATAACTAAACACTTATGTATTAAATGTTGAAACTCTAAATAAACAATTGTTACAGAAATTTGCTACAATCTTTCTCTCTTTTTTTAACCTGTATTATATTATTATCTATATTTATAGTCTATATTAGTGTACTATACATAGTTTTATGTATTTTATAGTTATTATATAAAGCAAGAGTATATAACAAGATACTAGATTGTTATATGACATTATTAGATATTAGTAAAAATATGAGTTAGTACTTTAATATAGACTATAAATATAAATTATAATATACAGATAAAAAAAGAAAAAAATTGTTTCTGCACACAGGATGCAGTAACGCTTGCCGCGCAACAAGAAGCGACGCGGTAGCCAATCAATCCTTTCTTATCGAAAAGTTGTAAGTCGAGTGATTACCGCCTTTACGTCGCCTTTTGCCGCGCGGCAAGCGTTACCGCATCCTGGATGCAAAAACCAAAAGATTGTAGCAAATTTCGATAACAATTGTTTATTTAAACAGTTTCGATATAAATTTATAAATGTTTAGTTATATATAAATGTCATTTATTTAATTACTAATGTTATACAACGTGTTTTACATAAGATGGCATTTTATTGTCATTTTGACACTAATTTCTCGTATAAGAATATATATATTTTTTTTTCTTAAATTATTTTACATTGATCATAATAATTGTAATGGTAAGAAAAAATGTCAATCATGTTATAGATGTCAATTATGTAAAAATTTATAAATTGAAAATAAAAAGTACGCAACTAAACTATTCTTTACCCAAAACTAAGATTTTAAAATTCAGTTTGATGTATTCTGTAAAAGCATTCGGCTTCGTTTAACATTTCCAGTCTTGCAATTATTGACATTGCTAGCAAATCTCAACGAATTTAATGTCTCGTTATAACATTCATCTAATGGCGATATATTTAACAACATTAAAGTTTTTGAATTACCTCCCAAAGAAGGCATAAGCAAATGGGTCAATTTAGAATTTCTATATGGAATATGTTCTTGTTTTTTTAAAAGAGCTAAGATAACATTACCAAGATTTGCTAATGATTTATTGATATTTTTCGTTTCTGTAGTTCTGGCAACTTCTTCACTCTTCAAACGTTCAGATCCAGCTAAGTCAACTAAATTTAAATTTCCTATTGAGACCTCCTGTTTTCCACTGTGCGTGCCAATCAATTGTATTCTCGTTACTGAATGTGATCTGGATGATCTAAAAAGCAAATCACACACACATAAACAATTATAATTTCTAATATTCTTATATTCTTATTTAAGAGAGAAAAAAGCTGTTTTATGCTTTGTTTTCTGCTGCAATTTGAACTATAAATGTCGTGCGAATATAACTTACCGCTCGTTTGCTTTAGTAGCTGCAACAGCTCGGTTGCGTTGTGCAGTTTCAAGACATTTGTGCAATTCTTCTGGACTGTGTATTTCTTCTATCCGAAGATTGCTGACATATAAATCCTGACCTTTGCTATCCACTATTCGTATTTCGTGCGTCTTTAGTTGCGAATCGAGAAGATCAACGATATGTTCATTGTAAATTTCTAGAAAACTTGCTTTTACTTGATACTCCCAACCAAGAAGTTCAAACTGTTTCATTTCTTTGAATATGTGACGTACCTAAAATTATACACAAATAAATTTGATTCTCGTAGAAAAATTATTAGTGCACAAATTTAAATTATATTTATAAGAAAAATAAAAATTATAATAAATAATATTACATTTATAAAAAAAATATTCTATATTTTGATTTTTTATTAAAGAGAAACTATGTTTGAAACAATTGCAAGCTAAATTTGTATGTATAAATTAAGATATAATCTGATAATTTCAACTACCATTTACTATATCATAAGCATATAAGAATATACACATACTGTTCTAGGTATCATGCCTTCGAACTGCTCCTTCATTTCTCCTTCATCTCTTGTTTCTCCTTCCATAGTGTATGTTTTGCCAGAACCAGTCTGGCCATAAGCAAATACACAAACATTATATCCCTCAAGAGCCGACTGTACTAAAAAGGATAACTCTTCAAATATATCTTCTTGCGACGCTTTATGAGTGAACACTTTATCAAATGAAAACTCTTGCTTTGTTCCTCGTTGCTTTCCACTACAACTTATTGCATCTGACCCATCCAATTTGCCTACTTCAATAGTACAGTCATCTATATAGTTTATGCTACACAATCTACAAACAATAGGTTCAAATCAATGGATCATGTTAGAGATATACTTAACTGCAAAGCAAAATACATTTACAGAATTTTACTTACGCTTTCATCTGTTCAACTTCCTTTGGAGTTCTTGGACGAACTCTGCAGAATACTCTGATATTCCCCTTTAATTCTTGTATATTATTGTGTAGCATTCTACATTTTTTATCCATTTCATATGCCAATGCTTCTAATTGTTCTTTGACATTACTCAGATCCTCATTTATCTGTTTTTGTAATTCCAGCTCAGTTGTCAAAGTTGTCAATTGTGTAGTTTGTTTTGAAATCAGTACCTCCTGTGTTTTACATTTCTCTTTACATTCATTCAACATGTGAGTAATGCTTGCGCACGATTCTTCCGACTCTTTTAATCGTTTTGTCAAATCTTCTTGATGTTTTTGCATCGTAGACATTTCTACTGTTAAAGTCTGAACTTCATTATTTAAGATATTATTTGAATCCTCAAGTTTTTCTGCTTTAGTTCTGCATGCAGCCTCACTAGTTTTTAAACTATTTACCAATTCTTGCAGGGCATTATACTTTGATTCTACATCTTTACTTTTCTGTTCTGCAACTGATAATTTATCACTCGTTTGTGCCAAGCGACCTCGCAGATCCCAACTTTTTAATTTGTTTGACTTGTTATCTGTATTATTCTGTAATACTTGGTTCGTTTTCTTTGCTGTATTATTAGTCATCAATGCTTTACCATTTGGTTTGTTCGCTACTGCTTTCGTAACAGGTTTAAGAAGTGGTTTCTTTGGTTCCCCATGTGTTATAATCGTACCTGCTCTTTTCACAGCATTTATATTATTGGATCGTGTGATTGTGGATAGCGTTTTTGCACGGAGTAGAGTAACTGGTGGTTTATCCTCTTTTGTAGATTTTGTTATAGCAAGGGAGCTTGTTGGTGCTGATTTTACAGTCGATACTGATTTTGATGTTGAGATACTATTTACCTCTTTAGCCGTTTTGTCATTTGTATTTTTAGTATTTATATCCATTGTAGAAATTGCTTTCTTTAATGCAAGTTTTGGTCTTGGTAAGCGAGATTCCATCTATCAAACATACAATAAAACAGTTGAAGTATTAAAAAAATAAAACTTGAATAATAGAAATGTGGATAATAGAAACTTACGATGCTTTGATCCTCGTAAAGTGTTGATAACGGTTAACAATTAACAGCATCAGCTTTTTTTGAACTCGAATTTAACCATGTCATAAAAAAAAAGGATGAAAATCTTTACAATCACAAAAGAAACAGAATCAATGCGCAGAACGTAATAGAATCACACTTTGATCTTCTAAAGTTTCAACGGTCAACAATTAACAGCATGTGCTTTTTTTTGAACTTGAATTTAATCGTGTATGATAATCAACCTATAAGAGAAGCCGAACAGTTGTTTACTTATTACTCCAACGAATCATACGTCGAATGCAAAAGACTGACCAATGTGTCTCCAGCAGGCAGATATTCTACACTCCATTGACTTAAGGCGATCTTTCATTTGTCATACGTACGAGTTGGTCAAATGTACCGATTGGCTGTTGGATAGAGAATTTCCAGACAGATGCTTTCTAAAGTTTTCCGCGATAGTTGCTCATCCGAGATGCAGAGGTGTATTTAAAATGAACAGACCTGGCTCACTTACATGATTTGACGTTTTCGCATCAAATCGCGGTCGAAATAATCGTCAATTCCTATATCAGCGAACATGGCGCGCGGCAGCAGTGCTGGATTTGACAGGCACATAACGATCTTTTCGCCGGAAGGTCGGCTTTACCAAGTAGGTAAGAATCAGAGAAATACATTATAGGCGATGCTTTATCGTATTTATTATCGACATCGTGTAGAGCGCCTTTTCGTTTCATATTTTTGTGTACGCCGATGACTTGGCGTGATCTGCATCTTCGCATTCATAAATGTATTCTTTCCTGAAATTTTCACAGAATACGCCTTCAAAGCCATCAATCAAGGTGGCCTGACGTCCGTGGCTGTCAAAGGAGTCGACTGCGCTGTATTCGCGACACAGAAGAAAGTGCCTGTAAGATAACCTCCAAGAGACTCCTCTTTGCCTAAAACTCCGTCAGAATCTCTTTACAGTTGACACTTTCCATTGTCCTTCGAATATGCTTCATCAACTCGAAATTTCGTTAGCAACAACCACCTAAATTTAGGAATACACGTTTACGATAATATTTATTGTATCTCTTTCTTTGTGTAGGATAAGTTACTCGATGCCTGCAGCGTCACTCATGTATTCCAGCTAACCGAGAATATCGGTTGTGTTATGACGGGTATGATAGGTGAGTTTCGATGATTTATTATAGCTATATTTCAACTTTGTGTGTCATTCTTTGATTCTTGTTCTACAGCCGATAGCAAGTCCCAAGTACAACGTGCTCGATATGAAGCAGCTCATTTTAAATACAAGTACGGCTATGAGATACCTGTGGATGTCTTGTGTCAACGTGTCGCCGACATCAGTCAAGTGTACACACAGAATGCGGAGATGCGACCCCTTGGATGTTCCATGATGCTCATAGCGTATGATAAGGAAAAGGGTCCGTGCATCTACAAAGCTGATCCAGCAGGTTATTTCTGTGGTTACAGAGCTATCTCTGTGGGGGCGAAACAAACCGAAGCTAATTCTTATCTCGAGAAGAAACTGAAGAAGAAACAAAATTATGATTATGATGAGACTATACAATTAGCTATTACTTGTTTATCTACGGTTTTATCTGTAGATTTTAAGCCAACTGAAATTGAAGTGGGAATTGTATCAAAGGATAATTCCAAATTCTGGTAATTAACACACTTATTTTTTATTTTTAAGTATTTCATATATTCTTACTGTGTCATAATTAATAAACTTTTTGTTACAGTGTTTTAACTGAGCAAGAGATCGATAAACATTTAACTGCAATTGCTGAAAAGGATTGATAATCTTGTATACAATTCGTAAGAAATAAAACAGTGTCCTGCTTATCACATATTTTTTTCTACTTAACATTTAATAAATTACGAATGAGATATATTAAGGATTTATGCAAAGAAATGTGTCAAGTGCACTAGTAAATATAACCCGCTCTCACGTTTGTATCAAATTTTATTTTATTTTATTTATTACAGCGTTAATCTTAGTTTATAATATTAAAATTGTCCTTAATGTATTACTTTCCCGCTGCAGTTGCCAATGGATTTCTTAGAACTAAGATGACAGAATCTCCACGTAGAAACATTTTTGGGATAAATCTGTCTTTGTTTACCGGTTTTGCCTGTTTATAGATATTTCCATTAATAATATTACTCTAAGCAAACAATACAAGTGATATTTCACTGGTACTAGATATCAGTATTATTATTTAGTATTTAAATGCAAAAAAATCATTACATTATATTTAATAAGAAATAATCTCATTATTTTTTTATATAATTTAAAAAAATTTTAATCTTATAAAAAAGATTGAGTTTAATTATATCTATTTTGCAGTCAATTTTTTGATTTAAACATTTCATTTTTAATTTATTAAATAAAATCTTTCTAATAGATCTGACTATTTCTAATATGCTAAAAATGTCAACATTTCAATTTAATTGTATTGCTTTCTTTTTTTAATTCAGAAACTCATTTATTGCACTAAATATCAAGGTGATAAAAAAATTTTCAATTAAAAATATAACCATATAAAAAATATTTATATAATTAATAATTATCCAATATACTGTTAATTATTGAATAAATAAATTTCTATAAAAGTATTGGTCGATCATAAAGTTAATTTTGTG